CGGCTGCTTTCGCCAGCTAGTCCAAGGGGTCCGCGGTCCGCAGGGGCGTCCGCAGTTTGGTCAGCCGGGCCGCGTCGCAATCGGCTGCGTTCGGTCGGTTCGTTTCGGTTCGGTCGGTTGTCGTGTCGTTGCTGCGCCGCCGCATCTTTCTTTGGCTGCTTGCGGCCTGTCGGCCAGGCACGGTTTCGGCCTCGCGGCCAGTCCTGTCGGCTGTCGGTTGTGCTTTTGCCGTGTACAGCCTTGGTCTGGGGGTCGACTCCAATGTAGGAGGCTCTGGGAGCCTGATTTCTCGACGCAGTCAGGTGCACAGTGGGCAGGCTTGCTTCAGTGCAGCCACCCACGAGGGGAGGAGGGAGAATGGGCGACTGAGGAACGCTCCCTTCCTCCAGCCTTCGTTCTCCACCTTCCTCCTTCTCCCTCCTCCCTTTCTCCTCTCCTCACCCCCTCCTCCCAGGAGCAGGGAGCTGCCGCTCTCTCTCGGGGTTAGATGGGCCTCTCGAGTGGGTTCTCTCCTGACCTACTCCTGAGTGTCCGTCTTTCCCTCTTGTTTCTCATTGCTGTGCACTCCCCTTTGAGCATTCATTTCATTACATCCCCTCCTCGAGTCTGGAACCTGCCAGACCGCCGGCACGGGGGCAGGGGCCTCGGAGAGGACGGCGACGGAGCCGGGCAAGCCTCAGCCTGGTGAAACGCGACAGTTCGGCTTAGTTAGCCCAGGCTTCGAGTATCGGTGCCCCTCGCGGACCGTCTTCGAACCGAGGTCCCGCGCTGAGTCCCGTTTGTTCGGCAGCTCTTGGCTCGTGCATACCTGCCCAACAGTGCGACTTGTCCGACGGTCCGCCCTTGATGGTCGCCCAGATCCTCTCTGTGAACGCCTTGACGCCCGCTGCGAGCCAGCGTTTGACGGGGGCGTGCGTTTGCGGTTGGCACAGGATCCCAAGGTCTGGCTCAGGACGACGACGACCAAGACGACGACGATGACGACGATGGGGACAGTGAAGAAAAACGGAAGGAGGGGGCGGGGGACGGGGAGATGTAAGATGGAGGAGGAGGAGGAGGAGGAGGAGGAGGAGGAGGAGGAGGAGGAGGAGGATAATTCAGGCGAAGCAGGCGATGGGGGAAAGCATATGAATGAGGCGAAGGAGAGGAGGACTGAGCACGATGGGAACTACAGTAGATAATATAGTGGTAGTTTGGAGGGGCAGGGGACGAAGACGAGGAAGTGGATGGAATAGGAATGGGGGAGGCAGGAGGAGGAGTGTGAAGAGGATTGGCCGGAGGTTTCGAGGAGGCGAAGGAGGAGAAGAGAAATGAGCCACAGTAGCAAGACGAGGGTAAAGAGGCGGAGTTCGAGGAGGCTGCAGAGGCTGTGAAAGGAGAACGCCCCAGAGCTGGCCCGCCTGTCTCTCGTGTTCACATGTGCGCTTGCCGAAATTCCGATCGATGGACACGACATTTCCAGAAGCTGCCTTCGGCGCTTCGAGGGAACGCGCCGATGTCGGCCAGGTCCCTGGCCCCGTCGGGACCCGAGACCCTCGTGCTCGCCGCTACAGCCGCCCCTGCGAACAGCGCCGACGTCGAGCAAAAATTGCTCGCGAGCACATCCTCGAGGGCCACGGGCCACCCAGCGAAGGCGACGACCGCCCCCCCCCCCCCCACGGCCCCGCGCAGCCGCGGCCCTCCTGAGAGGGGCCGGCCTACGTCCGGTCCTTCGACGTGGAGTTCCAGCTCCCAGTGCTGACTCACGAGGAGTCCGGCATCCGGGTCTGGTCGGAGGCCGCCCGCGCCTCCCGTGAGTCCGCCCGGCGGCGAGGGAGATTTGGCGCGCCTGGAGGGCAGGAGGAGGGAGGGGGGGAGGGGGCGAGGGGGGCATGATCACCCCTCTTACGACCATCATTGCGACCACTACCACTACGACCACTGCCACCATCGGTACGACCCCCACGACCGCCACCGCGACCGCTGTTCCCCTCCCCTCCGCCCGAACCCTACCCCCATCCCCCACGATTTCTAGGGGGGGGGGTCACTACGTTCAAGGGGGGTGGGGGTCGGGTTCACATGTGGTCACCTGTCGTGCGGTCTCGCGGGGTTGTCTTGGTTTTGCCGGGGAGGGGGGGGCGGGGGAGGTCTGGGGGGCCTCTTCGGGGCCGCTTCGGGCTCCGCGGGAACCGCTGAGGGTCCTCGTGGGGGCGTCGCGGGGCCTCCTGTGCTGTCTTGGAAATGTTTGGGGGGACCACTCGGGTCGCCGTAGGCGCTGTCAGACGACGCGCACATGACAAAGGGGCAACCACCATATGTCGTTGCCCTTTCTGGCGTCTCGTCGGCGTCCGGGGAGGTGTCTTGTTACCCTCCTGGGTGCTCATGGGCCCCCGTGGCGTCAGTTTTGAAAAAACGCGGGGCTGGTGGAGACCGCCAGGTCCGACCAGGGGGCAAGATGCGCCGCCGTGGAGCAACTCCGAAAAGGGGAGGGGGCGGGTATAGGCGCCTGGGATAGAGTGGGGGTCCATGGAGTTGGGCGTCCGTTTGTGCCGTTTGTGGGCCAATCTTCTGTTTGGAAGGCAGCAAAAACTCAGGGACGTGCATCCGAAAACGGGTCCGGTCGGGTTCGATGCTTTGGGTGGGGGGTTGGTGTGGGGGGGCAGTAATTGCTTTGCAAGTCGTGAAGTATGGAAAAGAAAGGCTCGGCACACCCTCACCGCCGCAAGCGCGGCCGAGGGGGTCCCAGGCGAGATGATCATTTCGAAAACGTACCGCCCACCATCCTTGCAATTGTTGTACGGTTCAAGGCGAGCGTGTGCGGGTTCTGGACTGAAGCCGTATTTCCAAAAGGGCCACGTCAGTGTTACAAGTTTGCAGCGTAATGTGCGCGGCGTTATGTCGAGAGCCGCATCTTGAGCATGTGCCGTGTTCCATCCTTCGATCTGCTGCAAGAATTCAAGACGAGTAGGCGTGGCGCTAGGGGAGGGATAACTACATGTGTGACAGGGTTCTGGCCGCCATCCTTGCAGCTGTCGCAGGTTTTTGCGACGAATGCGCACGGCGCTGGGGCGAGAACCTCATATTGAGACGACCTGGCCTCCGTTCGTGGAGACGCGAGTTCTGGGAAAGGAGATCCCACGGAAGTCTTAGCTGAAGCGGCCCTGCTGGCCTACAGACGCTTCTGGTAGTGCGATAGCGAGGAGTTGCTTGTAAGGAAGAGGGCTGGAGCAGAGGGAGGAGGCGGAACAGGAGGAGGAGGAGGAGGAGAATAATCACTAGCAGCAGGAGGAGCAGGAGAACGAGAGAGGGGGATGGAGAGGGGTTGGCGCGCACAGGGGTGGGCTGCGCGCGTGGGGGGGCAGTCGCGAGCGGGGGGGACTTTCCAAGTCAGTGGCAGATGGGCACCTTCAGAATGGCTCGGGAGGTCCACGGGGGACACGGAAGGCGGGAGTGCTTCTAAGGACCTTCCTGCTTTCCATGAAGTTCATCCCCCTCGCACCCCCCTCTTCTGCGAGCCGCCAGGTCCTGGCTGCTCGCAGAGGAGGAGGAGGAGGAGGAGGAGGAGGAGGAGGAGGAGGAGGAGGAGGAGGAGGAGGAGGAGGAGGAGGAGAAGGAGGAGGAGGAGAAGAAGGAGGAGGATTGGACGGATAAAAAGGATAGGAAAGATCGGAATGATAGGAAGGATGTAGAATACGGCGCCGAGGAGAGCAGGACGAAGCGTTCCGAGGAGGAGGGAGGGAGGGAGGGAGGGAGGGAGGAGGGAGGGAGGAGGGAGGGAGGGGGGGAGGAAGGGGAGGAGGGAGGGAGGGAGGGAGGGAGGAGGGAGGGAGGGAGGGAGGGGGAGGGAGGGAGGGGGAGGGAGGAGGGAGGGAGGGGAGGGAGGAGGGGGAGGGAGGGAGGGAGGGAGGAGGGAGGGAGGGAGGGAGGGAGGGGAGGGGGAGGGAGGGAGGGAGGGAGGGAGGGAGGGGGGGGGGAGGGAGGGAGGGAGGGAGGGAGGGAGGGAGGGGAGGGAGGGAGGGAGGGAGGGAGGGAGGGAGGGAGGGAGAGGAGGGAGGGAGGGAGGGAGGGAGGGGGAGGGAGGGAGGGAGGGAGGGAGGGAGGGAGGGAGGGAGGAGGAGGAGGAGGAGGGAGGAGGGAGGAGGAGGAGGAGGAGGAGGAGGACGAGGAGGAGGAGGAGGAGGAGGAGGAGGTCAGGGACCTTGCGCGGACGATTTCTCCGCCCACGGCAGGGCCTTCTCCCCGCACCCCTGGGCGGTGCCTTCGGCGCGGCCCCCACAGCGCGCTTCGCGCGCCAGGGCAGCAGGGTGTACGGGGGGGGGGGCGCTGGCGAAGAAGCAGTCTGTTTATGCGCGCGTTCGCCTTCTCAGGCGGGGAGAGGGACATTGGAGGCGACGATAATCAGGCGATCGCTAACATGGATCAAGGGGGGATGGATTAGCGACGGATCCCGTTTCCATGGGAAATCGCGGATTCCCGCCGCCGAACGAGGCGGCACCGGCCGCATTTTGGTGAGGGCACCTCCCCGGATCCATGGATGTGGCGACCGCGCGCCAAACCCATGGATCGCTAATCCATGTTTGCGCGCCCCCGATTCTCAGGCGCTGAGAAGGACCCTGGAGGCGACGATGAGGGCGAAGAACCCAGTTGGACGGGCACTACATGTATCTCTTCGGGAGCCTCGCCGAAGACGTGGGCCATCGGCGCCCCTGGATACCCGCGTTTCGCTCCCCTGGGCTAGTCGCCCCTGTTGTCGCCTCGAGGACAGGAGGAGGCATGGGGGGCAGAGCGCAGGAGAGGCGAGCCCTGACCTACGACCTCACGCCTCCGCGTGCCATGGATCCCCAGATCTCTTGACTCCTTTCCGGGAACTGCTGTTTCGTCCCTGGGTGGCTCTTGATGGCCCGGGGTGCTGGAACAGTGAGCTGACGAAGACAAGAGCGTGTTTCTATATTGCTTGGGGCATGACGGGCGTCATGGCCCCCGCCGCCCCCCCCCCCCCTTTGACGTAACGCTTCCCCCCCCAGTGCGCTCTGGGGGGCACTGCCCCCGTGCGCATCGGGACCCGGGATCCGCATAGGGTCCGCATAGGAATCTGCATAGGAGTCTGGGCCGCACTCGTCGTCGCCGTCGTCCTCGTCGTCGTCGTCGTCGCTCGTCGCTCGTCGCTCGTCGCTCGTCGCTCATCGTCGTCGTGCGCGCGGACGCGGCTGGAGCCTGTTTTTTTCGGGCCGATGACGGCAATCATTTGGGGGGGGAGGATGCCGATGACGTCACGTTGCCCGCCGGCGGCGTTTGGGAAGGCCCAGTAATGACCGAAGACGGGTAGCAACATCATGTAATGTAAGTGGCGATCTGCACCACAACGCGTGTGTACACCACAGTGCCTGCGTGCACCACAGCGCCTGTGTACACCACACCGCCTATGTACACTACAGCAGCCGCTTGCAACACAGCGCCAGTGTGTGCCACAGTGCCTGCGGGCACCACAGCGCCTGCGTACACCACATCAGCCGTGTGCAACACAGCACCAGTGTACATCACAATGCCTGCGTGGACTACAGCGCCTGTGTACCCCACGGCGCTTGTGTGCACCAGGGCAACCGTGTGCAACAGAGCACCACCGTTGCATATAGAATTTTAGAAGGAATCGTTATGACAATATGGAGCGCCTGTGGATTCCACAGAAAACGATTCTTTTATATAGGATTTGAAAAAGGAATCCTTATGGCAGAAGGAGCGCCGCTGGAATCTACGAGTCCTCCCGACTCCGCCCGCATCATCCTAACTCCTCCCATCTGCGTCCAGGAGCTCCAGCTAAATTGGCCGTTCGAGAACCATCTGGACTGATTCAATAGACCATTACGCGGTGCACGTTGAGATGCGCACGTGCGCTGTGGCGCCGACCCGCACAACAGGGGGGAAGGGTGAGGGAGGAGGGGGAGAAGGAGGATGAGGAGGAGGAGGAGGAGGAGGAGGTGGGAAGAAAGTCGCATACCATTATCAGCACCTCCCTGTCGTGGCGTTTACCTCTCCGTAGCAGATCCTCATTTACATGCTCCTTCTACCTGTCCTGTGCACGCAGGCGCTCGGTCGCTTTGGTGTACACGCGCGCTGTGGTGCACGCGAGCAGTTTGGTGTACACAGGCGCTGTGGGGCAGATCGCCACCTACATTATGCTCGCGTCGTCGTCGTCGTCGTCGCTCGTCGCTCGACGCTCGATCGTCATCCGCGCGCGCGGGCGCGGCTGTGGTGCCAGAGCCACACGGCGGGGGGGGGGGGGGGGGGGGCGTCACGTCATATCCCTGCCCCCCCCCATGACGCCCGTCATCGCCGAAAATACCGAAGACGCGCTCCAACGACGTCTCGATTGGTTGTTGGACTCCAGATGTCTAGGGAGGAGTGGGGGTGTCAGGACGCATTCGCGCTTCGCGGCCTGGGCCGCAGGCTTGCCCTTCTCAGGTGGGGCCGCGCGGGGCCAGGCTTAAATCGGGCGTGTCCCCCTACAGGCGGATCTTGGACGAAAAATAAATGATACTCAAGGATACTCAAGAATATATTGTCCGGGAAAAATCGAAAAACCTGTTCCGGACTATTTTTTGATTTTTTTGTATTCCTCTTGTAGAGGGACGTGCCCGACTTCAGGCCAGGCGAAGAGGAGCGCGCCTCGCGCTTCGCGCAGCGCGAGGCGCGAAGAGAGGCGGCCTGGGCTTCGCAGAGGCTTCCTGAGCTCGGGCCTCGGAGAGGGGCACCGCGCCCGGAGGGCAGCGCCCGCCGGTGAGCAGGATCCAGAGTCAAGT